GCTTTTCTCAAATGTTTGGTCACCTGTGACTGTTCATATCTTTTTAGGAATTAATTATTTACTAATTTAGCCTATTTACTATCTGTCTGCTTTGTCATAAGACAACATTATAGGTGGCTTTACTGGGCACAACCAGTACTCAGTATCTTTAAATCACTTTGAGGAAGAGACCATATCAATTATTTAGTCCAATGGAAGAATTCCTGGACATTCTTCCAATGTCCTACTTGGGTGAGGAAGAAGCCTTGAAATATTTTCTTAAAAATCAATATATAAATACATCATGTTTTCTACCAATGTCATAGGCTCAAATCTCTTAATCTCTGGAGTTCCTCAGAATCATTGTTTTAGTCCCTGTAGAAGATGAATCTCCAGTTTTCTCCTGAGAGGAGACAGTTACATCACTTGGACCATATGGCACAAACAGCACGCGGAATGTGAACGTACAGCAGGCTTTCAGCTAGCACCCTTCCACAGTGTCAGCTATACTCACAGAAGACGCACTTTCCCTTGGTTTTTCCAGACACTAGGTCAGTTACTACTCATCCCTCTGCTTTTCCAGCTGACAACTATTGGTGCTTTGTTGGCTTCCGTTTTCCTTGTACTTAGAGATTTATCTATTGACTCTGGGGAGCCCTTGGGAGCCAAGCCTGTTCTCAAGGTACGAGCCCTCTAATAGTCTGACGTTAATCATGGAGCTTAAAGACATTCTCTTGAGCACCTAAGCTACAATGTTTTGGAATGTATACTACCCTGCATGAATGTCTGTTATTTTAGACATTCTGAGCTGAGAAATATTAAAATGGACTTGAGTACAAAAATGCTATGGCATAATCTTACTTTTCCCTATAAAATCTAGTTTAGTCTTTTCTCTTCAAGCTTCAGTTTATATGTAACAGCTCTGAAAATGTTTACTTATAGTAGCAGTAACACCAACATTTGTTCAGCACTCACTGAGCTCAATATTCTTGTATGTTATTGTGTTATTGGATCCTTAAATCCAATCTTGAATATACTTTGCTTCTTCTTAATTAAGAAAGTCTTCAATTATTGGAAAAGTTAAATACACCCTCCAAATTTGCCCAAGTCAATGTAGACCTGGGATTTGAACTCAGAACAATGGGTCTTCACCATTACAGCACATCACTTCCAAGGTTGCATACATCCATCTTTGTACAGACCATAAATACTACAGTATGTCCATGATCTGGGAATCTGGTTCATTTATAAGTAATTATGGACCAATTTTTGAAGGAAGAATGAACCTCCTTCATTATAAAGAAATTATATCACCCTGTCATGGAAATTTCTAAAGGAATCTGTGAAAAATTGGCCAAGCCTAGATCTTCTAAATGTAAAGTGTTCTACAAATGAGTAAGCATCTGACTCATGTTAATTCTACAGCGTTAATATACTGGCCAAAGATCCAATAATGGAAAAAAACAATCTGTACTTGAAATATCACTTGAGGCTTAATTAGCACAATAAAAATGAATTGGGAAGCATGAATAGCCAAGGCTGGATAAACCACTTGCCAGGCACTACTTCCTGCCTTAATAAGATTTGAAATCGGCACAAGCACAGAGCAAAGCCTAGCAAAGCTTCCAAGAGCTGCCAGCACTACCATGATGGACCTGATTGCAAGACCAGGCCATCTTCCTCACACAATGAGAGCCTCACTGGAAATGAGAAATGACCATCTTGTCCAGCAGACAAACACCTTCACATCAATGTCCCTTGACCTGTATTTATTCAGAAAAGAAGTGCTTACCTATAGACCTCAGTGGGACAGCACCACTGTGCAATGAAAATGCTGGTTTCCTTGGACATCAGCTTCCCTGTTTTAATGTGCTCATGAATGACCAAGGCATCTTGTCAATAATGGAAAGCCAGGATTGGTGCATGCACATAAGGAAACAGACTCTTCCAGGCTTCTGGGACCTTGCTCATATTGAACTCGCAGCAATGGTGACAGCATGCACAAGACCCATGCAGACTCAGTCAGACAAAAACCCAGGATAGAACTGGAGAAACGGGCAGCAGGCCCCAACTGTAGTCGATGAACTATTAACAGCTTATTATTGCTGGGAGGGAGAGTTGATATTCTTTAAGGGAGAGACTCTAGATAGGCTGTCTAGAGACTCCAGTGGACGAACTTACACCAAGGGCCATCTAATACAAAAGCTTCACTCCACAGACTTAACATATAGGACAGAATGCACAAAATCCAGTGGAGTGAGGAGGCATCTACTGGAGGGTGCAG